GTCAAGTAACGAATAAATATACACTGCATGAAACGTTTGTAAATTATTGTGTTCTGTTTATAACTGTCATTCTATAAAGTGCATTGTGTGCTACTATAACATCCTTGTCAGGTACATATATTCAGTACATTCAGTATAACAATAACATTCAGTTCATTCAATTCCACAGCTACCGGTCAATTTTGCACCAGTATTTTAAAAGTCAAGCCTCAAAATACTGATGCAAAATTGACTGGTAGTTGTGGAATTGAATGAACTGAATGTTATTGTCAGGGGCCATTTCCTGCAGGAGTGCACAGGAGCGGAGCTCCGGCAGTAAGGAACCCAGGGGGCGGGCACATGTAACAAGCCCCACCCCCTGCTCCCAGCAGCCCTCAGTCTGGCCACAAGGAGCTAGAAGCAGCCAGGTAAGTTGCAGAGCCCCCCCCCATTCCGCCTTCAGGTACAAGCTCTCCCTCCTCTGTGAGGGCAGATCTGTGCATCCCCCCCCCCAATAACTAGCAACCCAAAACAGTCCAGTGGCACCTTTAAGACCAAGTTTTATTCAGGTACAAGCTCTCCCTCCTCTGTGAGGACAGATCTGCACGCCCCCCCCCCCAATAGCTAGCAATCTAAAACAGTCCAGTGGAGCCTGAGCGGTGGGTGTTGCCTTCTGACACACTTCCGGTGATGTCAGGGGGTGTGGCATATGCAAATAAGTTATGCTAATGAGTTATGCGAATGAGCTCCTGCACCTCTTTTTCTACGAAATGACCCCTGTGTATTGTTATACTGAATGTACTGAATATATGTACCTGACAAGGATGTTATAGTAGCACACAATGCACTTTATAAAATGATAGTTATAAATAGAACACGGTAATTTATAAAAGTCTCTTGCAGTGTATATTTATTCGCTACTTGACTCTCCTAACACTGCAGCTCGGGTTGCTACAACCTCCAGGTAGGGAGACATGGAATTACAAATGATCGACAGATGACAGAGATCAGCACACACACACCGATAAAATGGCGGCTTTGGAGGGTGGATTCTTCTGTGGCATTATACCCCAGTGACATTCCTTCCCCTTCCAAACTGCACCATTCCCCCAGGCCCCTTTCACAAATCTCCAGGAATTTTGTAACCCAGAGTCAGGAACCTTGGATTAGGTTGCTGAATAGAACCACGGTTCGCATGTGTGAATGAGCTTGTGTTGCCACCTCTGGGTAGGGAATTCCTGGAGATTTGGGGGATGGAATCTGAAGAGGGCGGGGTTTGGGGAGGGGAGGGATCATAATGCCGTCAAATGCGCCTTTCAAATTGGTCATTTTCTCCAGGGGAACTGATTTTGATCGGCTGTAATTACAGGAGATCTCCAGGTTCTACCTGGAGGTTGGCAGCCCTATTTCTGAGTGCACTGAAGAACAGCCCCAGGCAGAATATTCATATCCCTCCCCACACCCAAATACCCCACATTTCCTTTTCATAATTGGGACAAGGAACTAAGCTTCCTACTTAATAAGAGTCAGAGAACTTGTAAACCTATCTAATAGAAACTGATCTTCTTTATGGCTAATTAGGGCTAAAACTAGATGCTACATAGACTATCTAGGACAGGGGTGTCGAACTCATTTCTTTTGAGGGCCGGATCTGGCATAAATGAGACCTTGTTGGGTCGGGCCACATGTGTCATAAAATGTAATGCCAGGTAGCAGAGATATCAACTTTATAAAGGACACAAATACAAAGGTGTTTTTTCTTACTTAAAATAAAAACATGCTTAAAACATCAGCACTCTTGCAACATTTTGTTTATTTAACAGTGTCTGATCACTGACACCTCTTGCTCTGAATGATTGCACCAAAATGTCTGTGCGGTTGCAATCTTGAGCATGTGTGTATCTGTAAGCTGCAAACCTACGATGACGCAGCAGCAGCAGCAGAACTGGAAGAAGAAGCAGAAGACAGCCAGTTCCACTGCGGGCCTGAGAGAAGCCCTCCGGGGGCCTCATCCGGCCCCCAGGCCACATGTTTGACACCCCTGATCTAGAACATTGTTATCAGGAACCTCAGGGCAATGTACTCAATTCTCCTGCCTCCATTTTCACCTCACAAGAACCCTGTGAGGTTGGTTAGCCTGACAGAACAATGGGCTGAAGGCCTTTACTTAGCTCTGTGCCTGAGTGAGGGTTATACTGGTTCTCACCGGCTGATTGTTTGATTGATGGGCAGGCAGCTCAGGGGTCATTTCCTGCAGGAGCGCACAGGAGCGGAGCTCCGGCAGTAAAGAACCCAGGGGGTGGGCACATGCAACAAGCCCCACCCCTTGCTCCCAGCAGCCCTCAGTCAGAGCAAGAAGCAGCCAGGTAAGTTGCAGAGTTCCCACCGGGCCCCCGGTCCAAAACAGTCCAGTGGCACCTTTAAGACCAAGTTTTATTCAGGTACAAGCTCTCCCTCCTCTCCGAGGACAGATCTGCACATCCCCCCCCCCAGCTAGCAATCCAAAACAGTCCAGTGAAGCCTGAGCAGTGGGTGTTGCCTTCTGACACACTTCCGGTGATGCCAGGGGGTGTGGCATATGCAAATAAGTTATGCTCATGAATTATGCTAATGAGCTCCTGCACCTCTTTTTCTACGAAATGACCCTGCAGGCTGGAAGGAGGGAAGAGCCCAGGCCTGGTCTGTCCTCTGCTCTCGCTTGGAGCAACCCCCCCCCCCGCTTTTCTTTTTTTTGGGGGGGATGTATGTGTTAAGTGTGGCTGAGCCCTAAACTGAAGTGATCAGTGCAGTTCTGTCTCTGGCTTTAGATGTGCCAGGAGCCAGCAGACACTCAGGACTGGATTGTTTTTTGTGTCTGTGCATATGTGTCCAAATCAGCCTCATAAGAACATAAGAGAAGCCAATGTTGGATCAGGCCAATGGCCCATCCAGTCCAACACTCTGTCACACAGTGGCCAAAAATACCAGGTGCCACCAGAAACGGCTCTTTCTCAAGGACAGCTCTTATCAGAACTATGGCTTGCCCAAGGTCATCCAGCCAGGTGCAAGTGGAGGAGTGGGGAATCAAATCCGGTTCTCCCAGATTAGAGTCTGCGCACTTAACCACTACACCAAACTAGCGGAGGAAGAGGGGGGGGGGAAGTGGAGGAGATTGGATTTGTACCCCACTGCCCTTCACTACCCGAAGGAGTCTCAGAGCGGCTTACAAACTCCTTTCCCTTCCCCTCCCCACAACAGACGCCCTGTGAGGTAGGTGGGGCTGAGAGAGCTCTGACAGAAACTGCTCTTTTTCAAGAACAGCTCTTATCAGAACCATGGCTTGCCCAAGGTCATCCAGCCAGGTGCAAGTGGAGGAGTGGGGAATCA